TTGAAAATTAATTATACTCGCAGCAACGAAGAAGTGTCGGATAGTGGTTTCAGGTTAAAAACGCACACACATACACGAAGCGACGAACAAATAACTGAAATTTGAAAACTAAAACGACGAAAGTTCGTAAGAGCGTGGGATGGATCTGGTTAGCAAAAGGATTCGATCGTTTGCAGTTTTGTGCGAGTTTCGATGCTACACTAAGGACTAAGGAGGACTCTTGAAAAATAGACGATATGAAATGATTCTACGCGGGGTTGACTCGGATATTTCCGTTCGACTTTTCTCTAAGCGATGAAATTTCTCAAGAATATAATCGCATTTGAAAAATATTATTTGTCAGCCTTATACAAGATCCAGATGAAGTTCACCCTCTCGATAGAAAGAAAGAACGAAGCAAACCAAAAGATTTCACTTATTTTTACAATATCAATCACTGAGAAAAGTTTATTCCCTTTCTCCTGCACGTTGTTTATCGACAAAAATCATTACATTGGTAGTTCGGACCCGTTGCTTGGCAAGACTTTTTCTTGAAGCAATCAGTATTACAAGTTACAGTAATAGTAGCAGTAGTAGTTACAGTAGTAGTTTATATGTATGTTGTAGCAGTTTACAGAGCGGCAAACAATGAGAGTGGCGTAATGAGTAAAACTCGATGCACACCGCGAGCAGCTTCGGTAGTACTCTTCTATGTCGGATGCAAGCTCCATTGCAAGTTTTAGCGACGACGTCGATACCTCTTGCAATGAATCCGATACTTGATTCGGAATCAAGTCACATCCAGTAAAAGGAGAAAAATAATGTGCATAATAGTTCGTCGCGGCAAAGGGCGTTATTTAATATCGAACCTCCACTCGCGTTGGCAGCTCTTGCATCGCTCGAGCCTTTCCTCATTCTGCTCGCGTGCATGAATCATGCGCTTTTTTTATGTCTTTCTTATTGCGCGTATAAAACGAGCGTGAGTGTGTGGAGTGTGTGTTTGTGTGTGTGTGTGTGTGTCGGTGTAAGCATGCGTGTAATGCAATTTCCATTTTCTAGCCAGGCAAAGTGTGCCTTCGATCAATGTATTTTCGCGTGTATGAATAATGGCGTACGATGAACAAGCGAATGAACGAACGAATGAATCGAGTGAGTGTTCATAGCAGGACTCCTTTTTGATCATCCTTACTTATACTTATATTCGTTAAACTTGACGTTAAACGCGCCCACGACTCCCGCTCGTGCACTAATAAAACTCTCGGTAAATACGGCATAGACGATGTGGTTGTGCCCGTAGCGTGTAATCGTAATGTCGATATCGCTGCAGAGCTTCTGCCGAGCGCTCGACTCTTCCTCCGGGTCAATGACACTTTATCGCAGCCGCAAGCTTTCTCTGCTCGCTTACTCGATCCGCATCCTTGTCCAAAATGCCCACGCGCAGCAGCGATGAGAGTGGCGGTGATAATTAGCAGCTGAGAATGCGCGTGGCCGAGCGCAAAAACTTGTGCGTTTGGCGCGCAAACACACACGACATACAGAGAGAGATTTCATTCGAGTTAGACTCTTAGCTGCGTATCCGTCCCCCACCCGCAGGCACTTTATCGTCAAAATCTGCAAATACAGTATGTATACGTGTGTGTATCGTGGCTCGTTTTCTCGTTAATAGATTGGCCTCTTCCCCCGACGTCGCAGTCGAGCGCAGCGTCCACACGAGTACCATGCTTATAAAACAAGAGACTCTCCCTATGGCACCTATCGTCTTGTCTATCGGTCCGTCTATCGCGTCGCGCGCGCGCACGCACGCTTTATCAAGTTCTCGACGTATGTGTTAAGGCTGTATCTCTCTGGTCCAATACAACAATAAGGCTCATATACGTAATATCTTCGTCATCGTCATCCTCGTCTACGTGATCGTCGTTACATTGTCCATTGAGTATCGGTCATCAAAATACCTACGAAAATTCCCGTGGCTTTTTATTCTTTTTCTATTTCCATATGAAAAATCTGTTTCAGTGTGCAAAATATAGTCGTCATTATCATTATTATTATTACTATTATTATTATTATTATTATTATCACTATCACTATCGTTCTTCTTTCCGTCAGTCTGTCAGAGTATTCGCGTGTGTGTGCCTCGGAGCGCTTAAAAAACAAGTTGGGGAAAGATAGGTTGGCGAGCAGGCACGCTCCGGGATATGTGAAAATGCGGAGATGCAAGGAAGAAGGAAGGGGAACGAATTCGAAACAAATAGAGGAAGAGCAAAATAACGTCTGCGGAGGATAGGTTATTTTTTTTCAAATTACATACTGTTCTCTTCGTAAAATGTAAACCTTAATGTATTTGTGTTTTTTTTTTTTTTTTTTCAAATTCATCTCATCTCAACCGCCAATAATAAAATGTGATGATTCGTGGCTTGTTTGTCGTATTTCACTATTGCCTTCCAGAGAGTGTAGTTGTGTATGCTGCTCGTCGGAGAAACAGTGTATCTCTACCTGCTGGCCTCCTCATCGTTCAGCCAGAGAGAGAGAGAGAGAGAGAGAGAGAGAGATGAGAGAGAGAGAGAGAGAGAGAGAGAAGGAGAGAGAGAGAGAGAGAGAGAGAGAGGAGAGAGAGAAGAGAGAGAGAGAGAGAGGAAAGAGAGGGGGAGAGGGGGAGAGAAAAGAAAAGGAGACACGAAAGCGAAGAACTGCTTCTGGGTCTCTGAAAATTAGGTCGATCGACGCAGGAGGCTGCCGCTGCTGCCGCGCTTCGACTGTGCGGGGTTCAAGCGAGGCGAGTCTGAGTGTCAGTATTGATGCGTATGAGAGTGTAAATGTTGGCGCGCGCGTATCGTTTAGGCGAGCAGCGGGCCTGCGTCGCTGCCATGCGTGCGGCGCCAGAGCACGTGTGATTTGTTCTTCGCGGTGTCTCGCTGCTAGCTTTTCTTCTGCCCTCTTATTCTTCTCGTCGCCATTTATAAAATCATCGTCGACCGACATATACGCTTGTTTAGTTTGCTTTTTTTTTATTCTTTTTCTTCAATTATTGATTAAGGATATCTGTGTGCTCGAGTCCCAAAGGTCACTGAAACATTCAAAGAATGACGTTAGTAGGGACGCTACACGAGAGCCGATCTGTGTGTGGGTACAGTATGCGAGGCTTTGCGTGTTGAGGTACCATAAAGACACGATCGAGTTAGAAGTGCCGCCACGAGATCCGATTAGAGTCGAGTTCGACGAGCGCGCTGCCAGAGGACTCCGAGGCCCGCGATATTTCCGTTTGGCGGTGCTGTTAAGCCTTTAGTTGAGCAACAGCGCCCCATCAACGTTTGTTTGTTAACCGCGGGCGCACAGTTTTCGGTCGCTTGGCACTCTATTCCCGGAGGAATCCAACAAATTTCAAGTTATGATATCGGGTTTCAGCGCACGCGTACCGGGCTAATTTTAGATTCTGGCAAGCGCGCGCCCGCCAAACTCTCCACCTGTCGGCCTGCGATCAGCGATACTCGCGCGTGGTTTTTCCGCGACGACGACACCACGGGGGGATCCGTTAACGATCAAATTCGAGCGCGACTCGACGGTAACAGCGAATCCGCGATCGTTCGTCACGCTCGTTTAACGCTCGCTCGCGCTGCTGTCAGCCACGACGACTCTGTACCTTGACATCGGAAAAGCGCTGCCAACTTTGTTCAAATCCATTACTCCTACGTTGGATCGTTTTTGCCTCGTGACTTATTTGTTTTTTCCATTGCCCTGCTTAATCTCCTTTGGTACGCGTATGGTTGTCGCATGCATTACTGCTGCCTGAGTCACCTCGGTCCCGTACGTCACGTATAAATTGACTCGATCGAGCGTCGTTCACCTCGCGGCCGGGCGGCAAACTAATGCGCGCGTGCCTTATGTCACAACGCTCGAAACCTCGACGAGGTGACACTCATCGGAACAAGTCGTCGATTTGAAAGTAGCTTTCAAGACTGCTTCAAAGATATTAGCTTCAATTATGTCGCGTGCTCGAAGCGCCACATCACCCGCCTCCTTCGGCTTCAGCTCAGAGCAGATGATTTGGACTATTGCACGAGAGCGTCACTTTTAAAAAGGTCACGACGATTCGTCGGCGTTTGTCCAGCCGTAAGTTTCGATTTTCCGCGCTGCTTACTTAAAACGTCGAGTTGATCGAGGCATTGATGGTCAGATCAGCAATCAAAATTGCGCTTTGCAAATAATTTGTAAGCAAAATTGAAAGCGCATAGAAACTGATCGTGATAAGAGCCACTCGAGACAGCGAGAGAAGAAGCGGTGTTAACCGTCTAGAAGAAGCGGTGTTAACCGTCTCGAAGATTTATATTTAGCGCGAATGAATACGTTTTGCACTGCACGTTACTCCGACCGACACACGAGTAGTATCTATCATCGCGAAGCTCAATAAAGTGTCGACAAAAGAGCTTTTCCCCGACAAATCTGTACATTCGGTAGTCAGCTAGTTCTCTCGTTGCTCGTGTACGCGTATACCTTATTAGCCAAAACAAACTGAGAGCCGTGGAGTAAAAGCCTTGAACACGAGCGCGAGCAAAGAGGAGTCAGCGGTCGATTGACGAGGTTCGATTGTTCGCGTGGAACGTTCTGCTAATGCGATTCTATTCTTCTCTTCGTCTGCGTTTAGCTTATTACTTCTGTATTGTTTACGATTTGTATTTGAACGCGATCAATCACAGTTCAATTTATACCAAAGTGTGTTTCATAAGAAATTTCCTCTTACAAGAAGTCAGAAGTGGGATACTTCTCGCGTTGCTCTAACGTGACCGTAGGAGTATTTGGCGTAAAATAAGCACTCGCGAGAGAAAAGAAAGCTCGCAGTCGTAGTCCTCGCCGTAAAGGGAAGCAGCACGGGCGATCTTTCAGTCGCGTAGAGAAGGGGAGAGATGCACGCAAAAATAGGGAATGAGATTTCGTGAAATTGGCCAGCGTTCCGTCGGGTACGAGTTCAGCTTCGAGAAATGAAAGAAACATTGCCGCCGAATGGGTGGACAAGGTTAATAACGCCGAAGAAATGCGCAGTTGGCGCGGTAAAACCGAACCGTGTACCTCGCTACTTTTAAATTAGCCGATAACGCTAAAATTTGGGAGGAAGGGTTGCAGGATTCCTTGTTGGCCTGGGAAGTGTTTTCCACTCGCTGTTAAATTTGTTGTTGCGAGTAAGGACCGTTTTACCCGTCAGTTGATGCACAGCCGCGCCACTACGTATCCTCGCGGAGCGACGATTACAGCCAGTTGCGTCACGCCAGTCGAGCTCGAGCGCTCCTTTTTATCTTTCTCTGCTCGCGGAACAAAACGAAAGAGCGCGCACGGACTATGGGCACGAGAGTGCGCGCTATTCCGCGATTTTTATTGGCTTATCGTAGTTTCAAAGCGATCCTTATCCGGCGTCGATTTCACTGCCAAAGCGGTGCGAGACTATGTCGCAGCTCGCAATGCTATTGTTTAGCGTGAAAAACAGGCAATTACTGCCGAGGATGGCTGGCGAGTGCCGACGAATGCCGAATTTCGCAACTGGCGAACGGTACGCCGACAACGGGGAGAAAGACTAAGCCTAATAATATCCGGAGCTTAACGAAGCGGGAAAGCGAGGAAGGCTCTTTGCGCAAGCGTCGTACGAAAATCCGTGTCAATCGCCCGGAAGCGTCGTCGTCGTACAATGAACAATAAAGCGCGGCTCGACGCATCGATCGCGAGCAGATTGAAGGTGAGTCTCCTTGTTAGGAGAGGCTACGACGACGGCTCTCCGGTTAGCAATGTGTAATAAGCGCACTCGCCAAGGCTAGCTGCCACGGCTCGAATTGAATTTTCCCGGCGGCGAGATATTTCATTTTGTCGCCGCCGAGGCGGCTATGCCAATTTGTCTGTTTTCGTTATTGCGCTTGCCGATGATGATGAAGGTTTTCACTAGTCTAAGAAATCAAACAAGAAAAGTCGCACAAATTAGTTCAAAGTTTTATAAAATTTATTCATGATAGTAAATCTTTTTCGCCCTTGCAAAGCTGTTTTGCTGTTCCGATGTTACAATCATCGTTGAGAATCGCTTTCAACATCAAATTATTATAGATTAATATAGCCATACTTTCCGAATATACCTTCACAATGAGTATTAAAAAGTACACAATGTTTTTCGTAAAAATTACAACTTATCAGCTTCGAACAACAAAATTATCGCACAGTGAAACATTAAATACAATGGTTTACATGTTTTTCTCTGTTTATCGATCAATTGAATTTTCTTTTTCATTAGCGACTGATAAGAAACGAGGACTGCAAAAAGTAGAAGACTAAGAATTACGGGGTGGGGTGGGGTGGGGTGGGGTGGGGTAGGGTGGGGTGGGGGGAAGTAGCAGATGATGACACGATGCTTATACACATGAACTCAACACGATAATAACAAACAAGAGTGTATAATGATATCAATAAATCCCGTGAAAATTAGTACGTAAGATATCGAATTCATACTAAGTGTATAAAAAAAATGAGATTTTTGTCTCCATTGCGACAACGAGCATGCACGATTTACAGCTGTCCGAAGTGCGAGTTTGTGCACTGCTTTTCTCATACTCTATTTTTCTCTGTCTATCTGTCTGTTTCTCGGCGCACAGCACGGAGGCACAGCCTTGGGGCGCGAGAGTACAACGCACGCCTGAGTTTGTGATGTGTTAGACGACTTGGTGTAGAGTTGGGGATGCTGGACCGGTGTGGGCGTGAGCGTATGAATGTGGTGTGTGTGTGTGGCGTGTGGATGCGCGTGTGCGCGTGTTGTGTATTGGTGGTGCTGACCTAATAGCCGCAGGACAGGAGGTAGTCGCCCAACTTTTCGACAACGGAGGCGGCTTGCTGTGGCTGGATGGGATCCTCGTAAAGCGATACGACGACCGCCTGCGACGTCTTCATACAGTGCACGCCGACCTTGCCGAGCTTTGCCCTTATCACTCGGTCTGTGCCCGACAGATAAATATACCTATTGCCGGCCAGGGTCACGCCCGACGACGTCAGTACGCTCTGGTCCTCGAAGCCTTGCACCAGCTTTGCCAGCTCGTCTTTGCTCACCTGCAACACAACAGCAAGCGCGACAAGCGTTAGCGTCCCGCCGATCGTGGAATGTGCTGCGGCGCAAACTGCCGGTTTCTCGCCAAATCTCTCTTGGCCGAATTATCGTCGCTGGAGCCGTGACCGATTAAAGGATACGCGCGCGCCGTGGCCGTTTCGTCAATGGCAACGGATTAGCATTCTGCAGCCGTCGCTCGCGTTTCCCTCTCGTTCTTCAATGCAACGCTGACTCGTCTGCGGATATCTCGCGCTCGACTTGTTATGAATTTATTTACAAACACGTCGCGCAACCAGTGCGGGACAAAGCGCAATCCAAGCGCTTTGTCGCGCACCGGCCCAAAGAAGACGGTAAAAAAAGGAGGACTAATAAATTAATCTAGTTGGTTAGCGTCCGTCACGCTTGGCCGTATATAGATTAGATTAGAATCCGTCGGCTGTCTCTCGTTAGTGCAGACGTGGCTAATGGTCCGTGGAATATCGAGGCACCTCGCTTTATTAATACATAAGTGCTCGGCGCCCTTTCCCCCGCGGCCCCGCGGCTAAATCACTGATGAGGCATTATTTTTTCTTTCTTTTTTCTTTCCTTTTTTTCTTTCTTTTTTTCTTTCTTTTTTCTTTGTTTTTCCGGCTGGCCTTGGACCGCGGCAGCCTTTCGGCGTCGTCTTCGTGGAGGCGAACATTGAAAATGCAATCGACCCAGAAAGCGAACGAGTACGATTCTCGCGCGACCACGAAAATATTTTGCTGATTCAGTTGTTTACCGCGCGATTTCGTCAACGCTATTCATAGTTCATTGTCGCGCAGACTAAATTGATTGTGCGCTGAAAAATAGCACTTGTTCGCGTGAAACGTAAATAAATGTTTATTTATACCTAAGCTTCCACGGAGTCGAAACTCGGGTCAATTGGCCGACTGATGTCCAACTGGTAAGGCGTTGAAAACGCCCGTGTCAACTGTCAACTGCGCGTGCTTGGCGGCATTTTACACGTTCAATTAACAATAGCCTGCCAATTATTACGCCGAGGTGTTCGCGCGCAAAGCCTAATACACACGGCAATCGGCTATTTTTTCTTTTTTCTCTCTCCACGGGACGGCCTTTGAAATGTGTTGCCCGATTCGCGGGACGCGCATAGATGGAAGTGCGCGCACACGCTGCCCCGTGGAAAAGCCGAAAGTCGGCCCGGAAGCACGATCGCGATCGGCGCGCGCTCGGCCTCGCTCAAGGTCTTGCTGCGCGCGTCTCTCCGCTCGTGCAAGGTGAATTGCCGCCATTCGGACGGAAAAGCTGTTGCACACCGCCACGCGGTTCGGGTTGGCAACGGCCATTCGAAAGCCACCCGCGACCATCAACAATTTTAATTGCGGACTCGATCCATTTGGCACTACTAGACGCCGAGACCTAATACCGCTCAACGTAGAGTAGAGAGTGAAATAAGAGAGCAGGAGCTGTGTCAAAAGCAGAGCTTGCGACTCCAAGTGACGTTTCAATTTAGCCTCGCGAACGGTATTATTTTTTTTCTCTCTCTCTCTCTCTCATGGTCGTCGCCGAGAATTCCAGAGAAATATCGACGGACGCGTGGCGTTGGGCTTGGCACGGGCTACGCGGATGCTGAGCAGACTGCGCCGCGCTCGCGAGGCGTCGAGAATGAATCACGAGACGTAGGCACAGGTATGGCGCTAGAGGTATAGAGCGCTCGAATCTTGACCGACATACGGCCAAATGGATTCACCAGGGCCGTCCGCGGCACGAAGGGCTACGCTTCGATTGATCGCAGTCTCGCGTATTCGTTGTGCGCTAGCTATCCGCAAACAGAGATTTCACCCGAGCGCGAGCAAAACAATTATTCCGCTCGTTAAATATTGCCAATCTCGGCGGCTCGATCATTCTTCGTTATTAGAAAGCCGCTCTTGGCTACTGCAACCGATCATTACCACTCTGACTTTTGTTTTCTCAAGTAGCTCCATGGTTATTATTACTACTGGCATTCGTCCCTTTGCTATTTACCATCCACTCTTGCCAGCGATCTTCAGCCAGAAAATCAACTTTTAATGCTTGATATTAACGAATATTCCGTCCTAAACGCACGGCACATGACTTCTGTTTCTGAATTGCAGATAACTGTCATTTAGTGCGTTTAACTTCTTCATTACTAAATGCCGAAGTAGCTGTGCTTGTAATAAAACGACTCGCTACAGATGCTTTGCTAATGAGCCATGCGCTCAAAGTAATCGTAAGCATGCAGATAATCTGTCCAAACTTTATTGATATTAGAACAATAAGCCAGTGGTATTGAAAATGCTCTCTGAAACTTCTTTAAAACTATGCCGGTAATCGCGTAATTTTTCACGGAAATAACTCACTCGATCTCGTCCATTAATAGTTTCAAAGTTTGTTGGTGCTTTCGTTGCTATTAAATTAAACACTACCCATAAAGACGAAGAAAACAAGAAGCTGCTCAAGTTTATCGTTCTAAAAATAACTACTATTAACAACACTTACGAGTCGGCTTTGCAGGAGCACAAACAATTGACGTAATCAAGAGAAACAGAAAGTTACTGCATGGTGCGAGCGAACGTTCAACGATTCGAGAAATAGCGATAAAACTATGCAATGGGCCTCGAATGACACCATTCGCGAAATGGGTTATGTACGGCACTGGCAAGAGTAGCAGCAGGAGCAGGGTTGCTGCCCGGCCGGCGGCAGACTGCCGCCATTTTGGCAGCCGTGCGAGAGAGCCTGAAAAGAGCATGTATTCGCACATTCGGTACACGTCGTCGTGTAAACGGCAACCGTGTGTGCATGTGTGTGCGTGTGTACGCGTACGCGCGCGTGTGTGTGTGTGTGTGTGTCTGGTTTTATCCTCTTTTTCTCTTTGTCACATTTCCTGCTGCTGTCGAATTTTTTATTCTGCTCCGTTTTGGCCGAAAAAAACTACTTTGCGCGCACACACACTGAGACTAACGGAGTAGCTCGCTCGCTCGCTCGCTCGCTCGCTCTCTCTCTCTCTCTCTCTCTCTCTCTCTCTCTCTCTCTCCTCTCTCTCTCTCTCTCTCTCTCTCTCTCTCTCTCTCTCTCTCTCTCGCCAATTTCCGCTTCCACGCGAGGGGTAATATGCATGCACGCCCGGCGCGCACAAGCGAGACCGAGATAGGTAGACCAAGCGAGAGAGACGTAGAAGAGACTCATCCGTGCCTTTTATGCGATTTTAATAGGCCTTCTAGCAGTACGTCAAGCAGGTTATGTACCAGCAGGAGAAAGTACAAAACCTACGAGGCACGCGTGTATGCCTTTCAATCATTCCTTCTCAGAAACAGATGTGAAACGCTCTCGTTTCCGTGCGCTGGAGATTCGAACAATTAGTTATGACTATTAGAGATTATCATAATTGCCCTGCGCGCTGTCGTCATTCATTCTCCAATAAGATGCGCGTGAAACAAAACACTCCACGTACTGTCTTAACAATTACAAGCGATTGCCATTGTATTTACTCGCTGGTAATTGGTTTTCGCGAAATTATAACCTCAATGTTTCATTCTTTCCTGAACTGCTATTCGCTAAGACTCCGATTTCATAAAATGGAGAAAAGAGAAAGAAGTAATACTGACGTAACAGACTAAATTGGCGAGCTCGCGAAAAAAGCCTGGGAAAAGGCCCTCAACGAATACAAAGCACGTCGTGACTTTCGAGGTGCACGCGTGTCAAAACTTTCCTCAGCTCGCTCGGTCCAGTCATTCTTTCCGTCTCTCTTTCTGGCCGTTGTTCGAACAGGCGCCAAAGAAAGCGCGAGCAAGAGCAGGGCCGTGCGCTATTTTCAGTAGTGTGCGTTCGATCGTGTCGTCTCTCCTGCTTCCTCCTTCTGTCCAAGAATGAGAAAGAGTGAACGAGAGAGAAAGCGCAAAAAAGGAAGCTAAGCTGTGTGTATTTCGCGTGTGCAGAACGACGCCGCAGAGATAGCGGCGCCACACCCTGAAAGCCTTTTCGGCGGCTGCCGAAAGCACATGCACACCCTCGCGACTCGACAGCTCGACTGCAGCTTATCTTTCTCGAAAATTCGCCGGACGAAAAAGGCAGGAGCGCGCATAATGGAGTCGAGAGAGAATGAAACGGGAGTCAGTCTCGAATTCAAGAGAGGCAGACAGAGAAAGAGAGGCGTGCGTGTATGTGTATGTGCGGTGGCGGCGACGCGTGCACGCACGCCGGCTACGAGGAGAGAACGTTGACGGATCGATACGTATGAAAGAGAAAGAGAACGAGCGAGCAAGCGAATGAGAAAACGTGAATGCCTAGCCCATGATAATGTTTCTAGCTTGGAAGTCAACTTGTCGATTTTTATAAGAAAAAAGAAGGAGAAACGCTGTTTACGTGGCGATTGTGCGGCGCCAAAACGACCGAGCATCTGCTCGCTACACTTGGAAAGCACGCCCCGACTCGGAGAGGTTAACGTTGATATATCTCTATATCTCTATCTCTCTATCTCTCTATCTCTCTCTCTCTCTCTCGCTCTCACTCTCAACGCGCACTTGCTTTTGTAACCGTTGCCGACTCAGCATCAGCCAAATTGCCGGTACAATGAGAACGGTTGCATTTTTTCTCGTGAACGATACGTTTCGAAGCAGTGGCAACGATGGCCAGGAACAAAAAGGAGCAAAAAGGTGGGGGAGAGGCTCTCGCGCTCGGTTGTCTTTCTCCGTAACAGCATCAAAAAGGCTGCATGCGCTGGTTATTTGGTTGCGGTACTCACTTCAAAGCCCTCGGACTTTGCCCAGAGGTTGCCGTCGTGTCCGGCGATCGCCGCCTTGGACACACACCTCGAGGCAAGCAGCTGCTTGTCGACGTAATCCTGCCAGCTCATTGTGTCTGTTTTTTGCTTGCCTCTCTCACCGCGACTCTGAACAATAATGAAAGATAGCCTTTGACTAGGCTCTCTGTCGTGCCTGGATGCTTCGTTGGCTGGAGTCTTGCGCTCACACTCGGGACTGACTCGAGACCACGACTGTCGGCGTGTTGGGAGGACAAAATATCAACAATACAACGACTGCAGGAGGGCGATTAACTGATAGAGAGCGACAAAAGTAACTTCACTGTCACCAGCGACCTATCAACCCGTCACCCGTCTGACTCTGCTCGCCTGCGACTACCGACCACGACCAGCTTAGCTCCACACAGAGATTCGCCGCGCCACCGCCGCGCTCGCTCTCCTCGCACCGCTCTCCCGCCCATCCACCCGTCGCCATCCTCGTCCTATCCATAGCTCCGAATCATCCGACCTTGTTCTGCATGAGTGCGACAAGGACGTACAACACGTTCGACAGAGCCAACGACTTTTCCATACAGCCGGCGACATCTGCGGAACTAGGATGCGCGCGCCAATTCGGCAGGTGGCCATGTTTTTTCGGCTTTCACTGGAATTAAAGGCTCTGCTGTCGCCGACCGTGAATTTTCAATTTTTCTTTTAACGCAAAAAATTATAGTGAACAAATTATAATAATAATTTAATAAATAATTTGCATACAATCAAGATAATTTTTAAAAAATCTTGAGTTAGGTATAAGCATTTATCTATCACTGAATGCAAACTTATTATTTCTTTTTTGAGGAAATTTTTTATAACAGACCACTAAACCTTAAATCATTTCTATTTACTCATTGCTAATTAGCGTATTTTAATAATGCGACTAAGAATTATGCATAATGTTATAAGTGCATATAATAATTCAAAATTCGTGCACACGCAAGTGTTTGAGTACACATAAAAATATATACCATATATCTGTTTAGCGGCAATGTTATATACACCATCATTCGCTCATGAAGAGTGAGAACCGGAGACTATATATATTTACAATAAGTCACTACGCAGACTAACATTAGTATAGTCCTACGCGGAACACGCGGAGGCGAGATGGTAGTTATATAGTCTCCAGACTCCATGCGCTATAGTCTCAATTTGGTCTCAATAAAGCCATAATACGTTTGTGTCCATGCGTGCCATTTGTTTGTTGTTCAGCGGTACCCTCAATTTGTAACTCGTTATTGAAAGTTAATTAATTAATAATCAAAATGTTGGTGTCAAATCCAAATGACGTGAAAATTTACAATTTGAGCGTTGGGAAAAGTATACCTGAGGTGAGTTAATTTGAAAAATCATTTGATTGTAGGTTAGAATTATTATATTATGTAGGTTAGTTATTATTATTTACAGTGTATGTAATTCAATTTATTTGTTATACATTAAAAATGATTACTAAAATATTTTTCTGCAGTGGCTGAGTGAAAGAAAACGAAGAAAATTACTAAAACACAATGTTGGTATGTATTATGAATTTCATCGTATAGTTCAATGTTTATTTATGTTTTAAGTTGATGATACTTTGCTTATAAAGATGTTTTTCATAACTTTAATTTAATTATTTCTTAGACATGCGAAAAAGTATTAACTTAATTCAGGATTTTGATATGCCTGGTGTTAGCACATCTGTCAGAGCTTCGAGAGATGGACAGTACATCCTTGCAACTGGAATATACAAACCCAGAGTAAAATGTTTTGATGTCAATCAATTATCGATCAAATTCGAGAGATGCTTTGATGCCGAAGTTGTCACTTTTGAAATTTTGTCAGATGATTACAGCAAAGTAATTGCATTCAAAATATTATTGTCCACTAAAGAAAACTAATTATTCAACATTGTTCATTTTTAGCTTGTTTTTTTGCATGATGATAGGAATATTGAATTTCATGCTGCACATGGAAAATATTATAAACTTAGAATACCAAGGTTCGGCAGAGATATGAAATATCATTATCCATCTTCTGACTTATTTGTTGTAGGAGCTAGGTAATTTTCAATTTTTATATCTATTTTTTATTGAATATGTATAAAAAAACATGTATCTGATTAGTAAGGACTTCTTCAATAAATTGATATGTAAAAATTGATTTATAGCAATGAGATCTACAGAATAAATCTAGAAAGAGGTCAATTTTTACAATCTTTCGATTCTGAAAGCTCATCTATAAATAAGTGTACCATAAATCCAGTTCACCATTTATTGCTAATTGGAAATGAGGAAGGTAAAGTTGAGGCTTGGGATCCTCGAGATAGAAATAAAGTGGGATCACTTGACTGTGGTTTTAGTTGTATTAAGCAAGACAATAGGTACCTTTGTTGAAAATATATAAAGTTTATTTTATTAAAACAGTTAGTCTTATTAAACTATATATTGTTCATTATAGGATTGATAGAATTCCATCTATTACAGCTTTAAACTGTCACAATAGTTTGACTCTTGGTGTTGGAACTGTAACTGGACAAGTTCTATTGTATGATTTAAGATCCAGTAGTCCTTATATGATAAAAGATCATATGTATGGTGAACCTATTAGGAATATTGAATTCCATAAAAGTATGGATTATGTTTATTCTATGGATAATAATATTATTAAAATATGGGAAAAACAAACTGTAAGTATTTTAAGTATAAATATTTTTATCAATATTTAATTCAATTAACTTATTCAAGAGTATTGAAATTATGTTATTCTAATGTCTAGGGTAAAATATATACATCCATTGAAGCAGAGTCTACAACCCAGTTCAATGATTTGTGTATCATTCCTGATACTGGATTGATGTTCATAGCTAATGAAGATAAAAAATTGCAAACTTACTTTATTCCCAGTCTTGGTCCAGCACCAAGATGGTGTAATTTCTTGGACAGTCTTACAGAAGAATTAGAAGAATTGAATTATGAAACAATATATGACGATTACAAATTTGTTACAGAAGAAGATTTAGAAAAATTAGATTTATTAAAATACAAAGGTACTCCTTGTTTAAGAGCTCACATGCATGGTTTCTTCATAGATATTAGATTGTATCGAAAGGCAATGAGTATTATGGATCCATTTGATTTTGAAAAATTCAAAAAGAAGAAGATACGAGAGAAGATTGAGGAGGAACGACCTAAAAGAATACAGGTAAAATATTGGCTTTCATCTAAATTAAAAATTATATTATTAAATCAATAAAAGTAACGTTGTTCTACTTTTAGATACAAAAACTACCAGTTATTAATAAAGATTTGGCTATGAAACATTTAGAAAATGAATCTACTACTGATTTAAAGAAAAAGAAGAAAGCTACACCAAATTTGTTGAAAGATGATCGATTTAAGGCTTTGTTTGAGAATCCTGATTTCCAAGTTGACGTGTATTCAGAAGAGTATGCTCTTCTTAATCCTGTAATCTCACAAATGGGTAAAACGAAAAAACAAAGAGCTAGTAAAGTAGTAAATGAAAATAATATTGTAGAAGAAAGCGATACTGGTAAGGATTATATTGGATTTTTTTTTCAGTGAAAACTATTATTTTTTAATACTCAATCAACGTGTTTTATTCAAAAATAAAATTTTGTGATTGTTTTGTAAAAAGTGTTTGATAAAAAAGTTTTTTAAGCGTTATTATGTTGTTGAAGCTCATAAAATACTTTAATTTTGAATGATATAACATTTCATTTCTAAATTATTTTTAAAAAAACTTATTTTTAGAAAATCTACGTTCTGAAGATGAAGATATGGCTGATAGTTCAGATGATGAGAAACCTTGGGCGAAAGAGGTTCGAAAACAATACAAGCAAGTAAAGGAAAATGAGAGACGACGTGAAATGGAAGAAAGAAAAAATGAAGAAGACTCAAGTGAAGAAGTTACCAAAAAACAAGTCAAGTTTTATGAATTGAAAGATGGTATTTCTTTCAATGGACCAAAATACATGAGACAGAGAGCCAAGTAAGTAAACTTTGAATGGTAAAACCCTATCATCATTGAAGATGAAAGTTGCATAGATGAATCAAACTGAAGATAAATTATTTAATGTCGATACTTTTTCCTTTACAGACTTAGTCTCGGTGACAGATTGCAGAAAGAGGAAATGCATAGAGTTAACGTGACAGGTTCAAGAGGAAATAAAGAAATGACGTTCACTATTAAAAAGGTATTTAATTACAATGTTTCGATTCAATTTAAATTATTATTCGAAAAAATAGACCGTAGATTGGCAAAATAACAGTTTCTCTTTTTTTTTGTAGAAAAATTTCAAAAAACGAGTTGCGAGTACAACAAACCGTCAAGAATTAAAACATTTACTAAGGCCTGCAAATAATATAGGAAAAAGTAAAAAATAAAAATTTAGTGATATATGCTTAGATAAAAATGTATTGCTATACAGTTGTAAATAAAATTTATTTGTATTTTATCATAAACATATTTTTGTTTGGTACTGTACACTTTTGTTTACTGATTTTGTTTTTATGCAACCAATTTATTAACTTGCTTCAAGAGAGATATCTCTTACGAAAGGTGAAATGTCATCATACCCTGCTGATATATAATTTACACTGTCTGTGTTTAAAGATAATTTTAACATGTGTGAATGCAAATATATTGAAGTTGTTAAAAATACAAGAGAAATATGTCTGATTGTGAAGTAAATTATTCTCAACATCTACAATAATGATTAATTATCAAAGAGTAAAAGGCAAATCCTATTATTATTATTCCTATTATTATTAAATGCTGTTGATATCTTGGAGCTGTGTAGGTAAACTGTGTATACATACTCATTAGCTACAATGAAGGTACCATAGAATATTTACTCATTACTTATTCATTGAATTTAATTATTATATTTGTGTCCAGTGCTAAAGTAGCTATTTCCTTAATATACCAAAAGTTCTTAATACCGCAAATTTTCGTTTTTTATTTGAATAAATTTAAAATTATTACAAAATGAGTGAATACAAAATACTTTTGGTAATTTTACTTATTTTTTCTTAATTAAAAATAGATTTTGCCCATAAATTTTTACACAACTTTTTATAAAAATTTTCTTGGTAATAATTATGAAAAAAATTAAATTTTCAACATTAAATGTTCAATATTTGTTTAATTAAAATATTTATATCATGACTTTTTTTCAGACAAGTAGTAATATTAGTGACTCAATTCAAGGTAAAGAAGCACCTTCGCAAGAAAGCGATGAACCCTGTCAGTCATCCACGCCATCATTATTATCAGAATTACAATTGCAAAGTACAGAGGTAACAATTTAAATCGATCAATTAGATAATAAGTGCATATTATTTAAATTTTATTCTTTTCCAGATTGGAGAAATAGCAGAAATGCCAGATTATGAAACTTTGAGCACATCAGCAGTTTTGCACTACTGCAAACATAAAATATTGAAACCATATTTAAGACTTCTAGGTGTTATGGGTTTACGTCCTACTAGTGAAGAATCTGAACATTTTTCTCGTTATTGTATATTAGCTAACTTTCATACATTTCAAGTGATTATTTTCATGTGCTCGGGATATGTTTTGCAATATATGGCTTGTTATAGGTAGAAGAGTATATTGTTTTTAAAGTTCTTTTAATTTTTTTGAATAATTATTGTATCAATAGTAATTTATTCTGTTGTAGGAGAGATAGAGGATTTTGTTACGTAGCATCTGTTCTAAAAACTGAAATATCTTTGGAACCACGTACTTATGATAGAACGTGTCATGGAAGTGCTATATTTGCTTATTTTATTCCCAGTGCTCTTCATTTAGTAGCTTACTTGTATACAGTTTATTTATTTCGCATCAAAGACAATGAACAGTTACAAACCTTGATGGAAAGAGCTTTTCTGTTGTCTTCTAATCCTGCAAACTGTGGTAGTCAAAGACGTCTTGTGAGAATATTATGGTTATTTATTGGTTTGGGTGTTATCTGGATAATTATAGCTTTGATAACTGTAAGTTTTATGACTAATAAGGATGTTGTGAATTTCCAGTGGTTAAAACGCAGGTATACTGTTATTGGCTTATTTCTTTATCTATTAATTTTTCTTTCACTAATGTTATAAAAAATATTTGTTTAGCTCTACAGATATTAAAATTGCTTTAAAAATTTTTCTTATACTGTGCACATTATGGCATGACATGGTGCAGGGTACCATAATAACAAGTTATTGCATGCAAGGACAATTGTTAATATCACACTTGCATTTCTTGAGAGTAAAGTTACTTCAACACACAATACCAGGACTAGAATGGATGAAGGTAATTTACATTTCAACATAATTACATTTTATAATATTTGAGTCATATGGTTATCGATTACACATCAATATTTTTAGGAAATAAGTGAATTCAGAAAATTATTGAAGTATTTCAATGATGAATATGCCCCAGCAGTTTGTATATATACAGTTGTTAATGTATCTTGGGCAATGTCAGGTACTGCTTGGCTCTTGAGCTATGATAGTACAAATGCTTTAATGGATCCAATCACCTATGCCAATATAATAAATGTTGTTTTATGGATTTGGATATCATTAGCTCCATTTATACAAGTATGTCTTTCCTACAATTGATGTACTTTTTTTTTATAATAATGTTGTAATAATTTTTAATAATTTTAGGCTGCACGCTTGACAACAACTTGTTCTATGATTCAAAGTATTGGACATGAGGTACGAATTAGGCCTTTTGTATATCAAGGTACTCCTGGGGAAGACTTGGATACCTTGCTTTTATATGCATCATCGTTAAAAATGAATGCAAGACTGTTTAGAATCCCAATTACAGGCAGGTACCTGTGTTTACTATTGACTTTTGCAGCAGTGACCACCCTTACTTTAGGACAATGCCAATTTTTTGCATGAAAATATCCTGTAATTTTCCCAGCATATTAAAAGTGTTTTATTATGTTTGAAATGTGATTTTTATATTATATATTAATTGTTGAAGTTAATTTTGTTTAAATTAATTTTTCCTACATCAATTATGATTATTTGATGTCATTTTATGCTAATGTGCTCATAAATTATCAGTAAGTTTTCCTCACTTGAAATATAATTCTGTGTAATATATGACATTTAATGTATTATACAATGAACCAAATATAAATAATCTTTAAGACCATCCTTTTTATGGATAGAATGAAATAAAAATAATGTTCCTTGTACATCAAAGTTTTAAATTGTTTGAAATATTTGAGTGCATTCAAGAAATAACTATTAGGCGACAATAATAAAAAATATGTCTGAAATGAATACAAAGTTTCATATAAAAATATCTCATATATATTTTTATGTGAGAAATAAAGTTTCTGGTGTAAAATATTTCAAGTCAAATAATAAACTGAACAAAACATTTCTCAATATTTTGGAATTATAAACTAGTTATAGCAACTATAGTAGTCCGATATGGCCAACCTGACGAAAAGTAGGAGCGTTTTAAATGTAAAGAGTGCCAGCACTTCATTGAAGACGGCAAGCAGCGACATCCGTATCTTCTGTCGTCTGGTGCCGTGGGTACGTCTTTTACGGCGATTATCCCGTAAAAATGAACGTGATCGCGAAGTCAACGAATATCGTGCCCTTCGCCAAGGCTACGGTGAATGTCGTCACTGTGGGTACAGAGCCAGTGAGGACAGCAAGCAAAATCGCCAAAAAGAAGATCATTGCAGCTACTCCTATTCAACGACTGCTCAACTACACACTCAGCCAAGACCTTCGATTACACGGGGCTCTACGTGTGAGCTCAGGAATCGGTGGTATGTCTCGTTTTGTTGTTTTAATAAAAAACAGTTCCATTCAAGTGTTCTATTAAATATGGCAAATCTTTATTTTCAATTTTTAATTATGTAACAATGTTCAGAGAGTTCGATAACATACAGGTCACTTTATTATCAACGGAGTAAATTACGTTTGACTGTGAATATCATGTTAGAAAATTGGTTAAAAAGTTATTTTTAACAAAAATATCAATACGTAAAGTGTATCTAACTATCTCGTTCAAGGTATTTATTATCTACATATTGATGTGCAATCTCCAAATTTCAATCAATGTTTATTTAAAGTTTTCATGAGAGGTTATAAATGAGTAATAATTCGACCTGTCAAGTGTTTTTGTCAATGTTTTTATCTTTTACATTGAATATATCTGTACATACTTATATTCATCAGTTATTTTTAAAACTACGAAGAAAATAGAAATGGCAATGAACATTGTTGATAGCTGTAGACAAATACTGACTTTAAATTATTCATCACAAATGTTTAAAATGGCAATTCTTATTTAAGTACTGTTTGCGATTTAGAAATATTTTTATGTAGAGATCAATCTCATAACAATTGTTATTTTGTTTAGTGAGCTCCCAGGTAATACAACAAAGGTTAGCACATACAGACATACGAGTACCAGATTTTAATGATTACCGCAGAAATGAAGTTCAGGATCCACAAACTAAAAGTCGCGATTCTGCACCATCACGTCAAGCTATGCAGTACTTGATTGCAGCAGGTATTTTAAAGCATACTAATTTAAAAAATAAATTGATATTATGAATTAATTGAATTGTCGAGTCATAAATTTATTTTAGGTACTAGTGTTTACTGGAGCCTACGTAGCAAAAAGCCTTGTATACGACCTGGTTTCAACTATGTCTGCATCAGCCGATGTCTTGGCCATGGCTAAAATTGAAGTTAATCTTTCTTCTATCCCGGAAGGAAAGAGTGTTGTTTTCAAATGGCGTGGAAAGCCCTTATTCATTCGTCACAGGTCTGTATCAATAGATAATCTTAAATACAAGATAAGTTGAATAAATATTCTATATGTAATTTAAATAAGAAAAAAAATATTAATAATCTTTTGATGCAGGTTCTAATAAAATTGTCTGTTAATATAGTATATCTTGTAGGCTTCTTGTAAACTTAGAATATTCATATTATCATTTAGTAGATATGAAGAGTTTATGTATCTTTTATTTAACTGTTCAAAATCAAATATTTTTTGGTAACATCAGGTTGAGAGAATAAGCAAATCAGATAAATAAGCAATTTACTTTTCTTATATTTTTAATTCTTTACTTTTATATTTTCCTCAATATCTAAGGTAATTGTAAGTCACTATTTAAAAGAAAAATATATTCAAAACAAATAAATTGCACTGTTATGAAAAGTACTTTATACTTAAACATTTAAAAAATTTTACTCCATACATTTATAGAGGAAACTTTCTTAATTTATCAATTGTGAATTTAATATAAACCCAGCCATACATACATCCAGTTGTATATGGAGATAAATTGAAAAAATTCAGCTTAAGTGAGAAGCTAACAATAAATCTTAATGAATATTTTCAATTTACAGGACTTCATCTGAAATTGACAGAGAGAACTCTGTTGATGTTGGATCTTTGCGCGACCCCCAGGCTGATGCAGATAGAGTAAAGAACCCCTCAATGGCTTATTGTTATTGGAGTTTGCACGCACTTGGGTTGTGTACCAATTGCAAATGCTGGCGAATTCGGTGGTTACTATTGTCCATGCCACGGATCGCATTATGATGCTAGTGGAAGGATTAGAAAAGGACCGGCTCCTCTTAACCTCGAGGTTCCCGAATACGAGTTCAATGGCGACCTTGTTGTAGTTGGTTAATTATTTAAAAGTTCTTTCGAACTGTAGAGTATTAACAATTGGCATCGTTACTGAAAACCGTCGTTTATAAAATTTCATTTACAATCTAAAAAAGCCAAGTAAATCAAATAGGCTCTCAACATTTTAAAGTGAATACGACGACTGTCGTTATTTCCAAACAAGCAAATTTGTACAGTCGTTAAAATAAATATTTAATGATTTCCAAAGTTAATTACGTCACTTGGATTAATTTGTTTTTATTGCGAACGGCAGATCAAAGCATTAAAATAGATACAACGATATATTTTATTATAATTTCAGTGCTTTATAAGCAAGAATAAATACAAGTTATAGTTTTTTTTTGTTAAATTTATAGCTTCATTTTTTTAAGTGGTGAGTTTACTGTTTAAATAGTTATAATCCAATAAAATATCAAAAGTAATTCAAAGATCAAAATAAATATTGTAGGATCCTTTGATAGTTTACGACGAGAAAAAGTTTGAGTAGATGTATTTTACAAAATAAGTATTAGAATGATATATTTCAACAAAAGAAGATTAGAATGAAGAAATTAATTTGATAAATAAATTAACGAACAAAAGGAAGTTAAGTTGTAAGAAAGATGAAAGTATTACAAGAGTGAGAAAGATATGTTATCGAGTAGATAAAGAAGCAGGGAAAGACAGCAATGCAATGATTGTGGAAGAAAATCGAGTCGAGGGGGATAAATTGGGGTCAACTGCATGATAGGCGAGAGGGAGAATTAGAAATTAGAATGAATGCAATCCCGCGAGACGGCGCTCGGATCGAGCGCATCAAAAAAATTTTCGGGATTTCTCGTTGATCGAGTTACTTGGTGCGCACTTTTATACATGTAGGGGGGTTTGAAACGCACGCACGGCACACACGCGCTTATTCGCGCGGCAGTTGTCGGTCTTCTTCGCTGCCGGCAGCGCGAGAAAGACGCGAGTGCACATGCAAAGAAATAACAACAAAATCTCATCTTTCGAACTATACTCTTTTGGACTTGGCACTCGCGTTTATTGTCATCATTTATAAAAAAAATTGACATTCTGGATCTTTTGTTATGATTTGCATCAACTCGAGAAATCTCGCGGAATTTCAAGAAGGTGAGTCTTACTTTTCTCTATTCTCGCAGGTTAGGGTTTGTTAGAACAATGCAACGACGTATTTAGATCTGTATAAATAATTGTTGCAATCGTGTACTTTTCGCGTGTGCTGCGACATCAATTATTTTGTTCACGTGTACGACTGACGTGACTTATTGATTTCTGCATGTGTTTAAGACACTCAATCGAGAAATGCTAATAATTCTCGAGATAATATTAAAAATGTATGAAAATTAATCTTGGTTGTGATTTGTTTCGTAGCTGAAATAACAATGTCGGTAATGGTTGCGAACGTTTTTTTCATAGTTGCACACAAAAGTATGACGATTGTCATCGTTTCGTTTTAATTTATCGTTAAAGAAGATAAGTTGATATATTTTTGCAAATGATTTTTCATAGATCTTGGACATTGGAAGCTTGGACATTCTAAAGATATTAGCTTAGTTTTCATTATCCGAGGAGAAACGTAATTGTTCAATTGAACTATTTCGAATAACTCGGGTACACGCTTCGCAAATTGTTTTGGCTAGACTGTCTACGGTCGCGCGCATAAAAGCATGCGCTTTCAATTTGGCGAGAGCAAAATATTTTATTTAACGCGGTTGAGAATGTTAGTTTAACAAAGGTGTATTAATCGAGGGAAAAATGTAGTACGGGGATGAACGGATGAAAAAGTTGTGGGAAAACAAGCGAGTTTGAAAAAATGATGGTCTGGCGGGTGCAAGTAAAAGAAATGGCAATAAATCGAAGGAGGCAGTGTAGATCAATGGCGTCGTCGTAGAATTTGTAAAGGTTGCGTGTGACACGGTAGAATAGATATGGTGTTGTGCGCTGCATGCAAGCCGGAGCGAGCAAAGAATAAGTTTTGGGGGTTGCAGAATCCAGTTTTCCTTCTTCGACTGCTTCCCATCGCGCTCGTCGGAGACTTCAATTCCCCTTGGTCCTATATATCCTGTATATCTGTATGGGTCTAGAGCAGCGCACTTATACGCGTACATGTACACGCATCCAAGTAGGAGCATGCAGGCAGCGCAGGGAGAGCTGAGAGCGAGAGTTGGTGCGTGCGCTTTCGAAAGTGAGTGGGCCAACCCTTGGCAACGGAGAATCAATAGATGCGCGTTGCATCTTACCCCTCCGCTTTCTCTCTACACATAGGCTCTCTCCCTGCTTTGTGCTAGCTCGCTGCTACCGCTTCTTCGCCTCCTATCAGCCCAGCTCTCGGTCTCTGTTCTCTCGTCTATCTACTCGATTTTCGTGGCTCTCCCTCTCTTTCTTTCTCTGCTCTGCGCGCGTGTCCCTCGACCACCCGTCCGCCCGCCCGACCGTTCACCCGCCGTTTACATGTTCCCAGTCGGGAGAGTGCACTCGCGAATTTCTCCTCCCTTATCGCACCGACACGCACACACCAGAGCACTTACCTACTCGGCTCTAGGCTGCCTGCGCGTGTGCGTGCAGCAGCCTCCAGCCTCGTTTTTTCTCGCCTGCCGAAAAATCGATTCTCTCTTTTCTCGCTCTTCTCTGCGCTTCGCGTAGACTCTAGTCCTTGTTAGCCTTCTTCCCACCGACTGCTTTTCTTGCTCCAATCTCTCTAGTTCTATCGCTTTTCTTTCTTTTCACTCGGCTTGGCTATTTTCAGTCGACGATTATAGGAAAACACACTTGTCGCTGATGCTCCCTCGGCAATTACCTGCACCAATGGCCTTCGAATACCCGCGGTATTCGTCACTCTTTGAGCAAATTGCAACCTTCAGCGTGTGTGTCTACTTAAGTGAAAGCTTATTCGTATATATCAATTACGTACGAGCTTCAGTCATGGTCAATTACAATATTAACGTGTTACCAACTTTGTATTTTACTTTTTTCATTCGACAGTTATGCGTTGTTTCACGTGTCTCGCAAAATAATTGCCGTACATTAATCGACTTTTTTCTTTGTCAAATTTTGTACTCGGCTTGTCGTTGTAATAATTTAAATGGAATCTGCTTTGAAAGTGTGATTCCACGTTCACAATCTATTTTGACAACAGATAGTTCCTGATACGGATCATCGAAAAAAATTCACAAGACTAAGGTCAATCAATCAAAGACGTGAGTTGTAAACAGTTCTGTTTGATATGCATCGTGGAAATATCTGACTTTGCGACTTTCCAAAAGTCAATAGAAGCAACGACTTTGGCAAAAATGTTAGCTTGGTCCTAGCGGACATAAACATATTGGAGAATGAAAGGTTCCCCTAGAGCAGCGAGATTCAAGAGAATCCAAACATGATTCGCGAGGATCCATCGTAAACCACGGCGCATTTGGTGATACGCCAAGTCCGCCGTTGAGCAAGGAAATTCCAATGCAACATTGGGAAGCTTTCGAGGTCAAAAGGGCGAAGGCGGAGACGAAGGGCGCGCGGGGTGGGTGTATAACGCGAAGCCTCGGAATCGCGGGCGCACGAAAGTGCGAGATTCGACGGGAGTAGAGGAGAGCGTGACAAGCGGCGCTCTATATATAAACTTAACGAGACAGTTACATCGGGAGAGTAGGGAAAATGTGAGCACGCCGAGAAGGCGCGCACAGGTGTGCGAGCGTCCGAAAGCTGTGTGCCTCGCTGCGTATGCGCGGCGGAGAGGCGGCGAGGGGAGTCGGTGAGGGGCGGCGAGGCGAAACTCGAAGGTCGCGATATCGGCGAACGAGTCGAATGGAAGGAGGTTAATGATTGGTTATCCTGCGCGCGTGCGAGCGCGGCAGGGGCTGTTGCCGGGTGCAGCCTCTCCTCCTGGGCCTGTGCGACGTATTCGCGCGCGTCGCGTGCGCCGATATAGCGGCGAGCCACGCCGGAAGAGGCTCCGCGTCGGAGCTTTCTCTCTCGTTCGGCCGCGCCATGCCGGGCACCCCTCTCTCCTTCCGCCCGCCGCTCCGCGCCGCCGTAAGCACAATTTTCGGGGCTGCCGCGCGCATCCGACGCGCCCTCCGCCCGTCAGGGGGTGCAAGGTTATTCTCCCTACTCCGTTCGCCGGTGCGAGCCCCCCCTCCCTCCCCCCGACAGCCCAGTGATGTAGCCACAGCGCGCCCTCTCTCCCACTCTCTCCGACCTGTTTTTACATTCCGTTAAAAAACTTATTGCTCTCTTGGCCCCCCGCGCATCTTTCGTCCGCCGACTGTCCAGCGTGCACGCGCCGATGATTTGGCGGCGCCGCCGTCGGCAAACGAGCGACCACGGCTGCACGTTTGTTTGCAACGCTGCAAGCCCGTCTCGCCCTTCTATCTACAGCTCGAACGCGGATTGTCCATTGAGAAATTAGGTTGAACGAGAAAGCAGCGGATCAGTCCCGAGTATCGTAGCGCGAGCAGAGCCAACGAAACGTTGCAGTCCGCCTGATTTACACCGCGGGAGGTTTTACGCGAGCGTTAAAAATGTAAGCCTTGCCGCTATCAATAGCCGCGGGGGGGGGGGGGGGGGGGTGGAGATCGGGCAGAGCGGGCAGAGCGAGCAGAGCGGGCAGAGCTTCACAACGGGGAAAAATATTCAAGCCTTATACATTCGCGCGAATGGGCGTAGTCTATAGACAACGGCCATTTATCCATGCGAAATTTCAGGAAAAATGTTAAGGCCTCCGCGGCTCGGAGGGAGCCAGCTCGAGAGAATAATGAGCCACTCGAACAAATGCATTTGAAGCGTCGTGCAGATTTCTGTGTGCGCGACGTACGCGCCGCTACCCTCGCATCCGCATTCATCACTGCGAGTCCGGAACTCGAGCTTTTCAAATGCTTCTCTCTCTCTCTCGCTCTCTCCTGTTTCTCTCTTTCGCGAATTCATTATTTAACTTGCTCGGGCTCTTCCGCCTCTGACGCTGGCTCTTCTCTTTCCCTCAACGTTCCCGTACGGCTGCCTATTCTTTCAGTTTTCCGCTTGGCATAACAGGCTCAGCCACGCTAGTCCTGCCAAGCAAACGTTGCAGGCTTTCGGGGGGCTGCGATCGATCGCGCGCGCTCGATCGACGGTCAGCGGGAGGCCGACTGGCGCCGCGCGAGCAGCGAGCTTGACACGGAGCATTGAATCGCAGGCGGCTGAAGAGCCGAGCAGCTTTCCGGGAAAAGGACGAGGAGCGAAAAGCGCTCGAAAAAAAGCCGGCGTCGGCCGGCACTGGCAACCTTGTAAGCTCTCCTCCCGGCAGAGCGCGAGGGAGCAGGGCGGGGGGTGGGTGGAGGGGGGCAAAGCGGGGAGGTGCGGAGTGCGCGCGAGAGGGAAAATTGGCAACGGGACACAGGGGACGAGGCGGTGGGAGGGGAGAAAGAGAAAGTAGTTTTTAGCGAAAGTGATGGGCCGAGCGGCGTGGGCGGCCCTCCGCGCGGCAGCCGGGGGCGCCAGTGGCAGGAGCAAGGTGGCCGGCGGCCGGGAGGAGGAGGAGGAGGAGGAGGGGGGAGGAGGAGGCTAACCTTGGCAAGCGCGCACGGCCGCCCGGCAGGCAGCTCGCGGAGCCGGCCGCGCAGCGTCGGAGGAGGGGCGCGGCGGGCTGGCGGCTGGCGGCTGGCGGCTGGCGGCAAGGGGGTGGCCCGTGCGTGCAGGGGTGCGTGCGAGAGTGCGCGCGCGCTTGCAGCTTGCGCGAGGCTCAGCCGCGAGGAAAGCGCCTACGCGAGCGAGCCGGCTCTCCCTCGGTAGTCGCCGCCGTGGCAGACAGTGACGGGCGTGACGTAGTCGGAGGAGGATGTACGCCCCGGTCGGCACCGGCCCCAGCAATCATCGCTCGACCCTGCTCAATTCGTGGTGGCTTCAACCACCAGGTACGTACGCAGCTGCACCCTCTCTTCTAGCGCGCCCGCTTCTCTCGTCCGCGAGCCTTGCCCTTCTTCGCTCGTCGACGATCTCTCTCGAAGTGCAGAACGCTCGCCGGCGACCGTTCGCGTTCGCTTTCTCCTACTCGCCGTTTCTCCGGGCTGCTACGCCAAACCAATGTTCATTTGTGCGCGAACTTGCGTCGGGCATACTTAGTCTGCGAATCTCGACTAGAGGAC